CTCTAATCTTTTTAATTTTAGTTTGTTATGTATAAAATTAATTGATTTAATGAAAAGATTTATCTTTAATTTTACGTATTATAACTACTCAATTGTTAATTGATCCTCCTACTTGAAAATAAGGATTTAACAAGCAAAAATTTTGATGTTCATTTTTACTTAGCTACGGATTAGCACTAGATTATAAGAAAAATCACTTAGTTAGGAGTTATTTAGCTACTAATTCGTAGTTAATTTTTTTTTTAAGTAGTTATAATAATCACTATATAACAAGTGGCAAACTAAAATTATCTTATTTTATATAGAAGTACAACAAGTACTTTACATACATTTGTTACTAATTAATGATATAATGAATATCGTATGCGGTGGTATTATTACGTATTTTGTACCTATTAACACTATATTAAATCTACTATGTCACACTTCGAATATTTGAAAAATTACATTTACTTATTTTTTTAAAATTTAAAATAGAGGTGTAAATTTAGCGCAATATATATATAGTATTCTTACATTTTTAAAGAAATATTTAAAAATAGAGATTTAAACTCTCGTTAAAGGTAAGCATATATTAACTCAAATGTTAATTGAGTGACCTCTCTCAGCAAAAGATAAAAATTTAAATTTGGAAAACTAACATAAATTAGTACATTCTAATAAACCATTGCTGATTTTAAACCATAGCTGAATTTAGCAATACTTTTTATTTATTACCATTTATAACAATAACATATCAACTCTACAATATGAATTAAAAGTGAATTATGTACGTAATATGTATGATTGATAATTATGTTTTGAAATATATTATTGTTGTTTGATAAAAATTTGACAAATTGTATTATAAGTTTATTAAAATGTCTAATAAATGTATAATTTATTATTAAAATTTGTATTATATATGAATAATAAATTGTTTTTTTTAATATGTATTATAAATGAATTAAAATGATCGAGTGAAAAAAGAAAGATATTATTGCTAAATGACAAATAATTTTTTATTTTAGTATATTCATGTAGGTTTCTCTAGCTGTTTTATTTTTTATTTTTATTAGTAACACCTTTTTAACTCGGTGTTTCGATGATCTTTTTTTTTTTTACTTAAATCTCTCAAAATAATCATCAACCGGGTAATATTGAAAATGCCTAAAATTAGGATAAAAATTTTATATTATTAAAATTAAATTTTGATTTTAAATTAAAAACTAGTAATATTATATATGTTAGGATCCATGATTTTTAAGATTTAAAATTTAGTTTCAAAGAACTAAATCTCGATCAAATCAATATTTCAGCTCCGTCTTTCTAATAGTTCACTCATTTTTTAAAATTTTTTTTTTTTAAAATTCTGTATACGCCTCTAGAACATACTATATATGATAATGACACTTATTTTTAGAATCCTGTATACTATGAACATTCTATTTACTATGAACATAATGACACTTAAACTTTGTAGTGCATTTTATATGTGTGTATTGATCAATCAAAATATTTGTAAAATATTTTCTCAGATCCCTCGTACCGTCGTGGACGATGGAACGGTGGATCGGAGGGAGGAACGGGCGCGTTCCGTAGGAGAGAGCTTGACGGATGGAGCAGCAAAAGCAGTAGAGACCGGGCTAGACGTGGGTGAAAAGGCAAAAGAGAGTATAGATGAAGCATGGGATGCAGCTAAAGAAACAACAAATAACATTAAAGATGCCATGGTTGATGATGCTAATGATGAAATGAAAAAAGGGATATAAATATCCATCTACTAACAACAATAATAATAACAAAGATGAACATATACAGAATTTGAGGAAACGTGCTGATGGTTATGATTTGAGGGATACTCATTAGAACTTTTTTAACTTGTGTATTTTATCTAAGAAATAATGATCAACATAATAACGTTTTATTATTTCCTGATGTTTGATTCGATTTGAAATAGAAAAAAAAATTAAATCTTTGTGATTTTAAATTAAAGTGATGTTAAAAGTATTGAATTGCCTTTTTAATTTCGTGGGCTTAAATATGTTATGTGGAAAGTTAAAGTTTAATTTTTTTTAAAAAAGAAAATGGATTTTTTTTAACCGATTAAAAAAAATTGGGATGATCTTTTTTTAATTGGAGGGAGTATAATGTCTATTAGTTAAGACATATAGTTTGAGACGTGATTTGATTAATAAGTAATCAATATTTGAAAGTGAAATGTGAATTAAGTTCTTTTTTGTTTTCTAAATGTTTTAAAAGTAATAAAAAATTAATAAGTAAAAGTGAGTGGTGAGAGAGGATAACAGTAATTTTTAATTCTAGTCTTTTGAACTTTGCAATGTGGCATAATATTTGTGTTTGTGTTTTTATATGTATAAATAAAAACTAGCTCATGTGTGGATGTTAGATGAAGTTGAGGTTTATTATTTGTTTAGTTCATTTTTATTTATCAAGTTACTAATATTTGATATTAAATTGAATTATATTAATTTGAAATTTTAAATGAAAAATATTAAATTATTATATGAAAATGTTATAAATTGTAATTATTTTTCATATTAATATTGATAAAAATAATTATAAGATGTTAGTTAAATTTTTTATAGTTTTTAACTTTGAAAAAGAAAATCATGATAAAAGGAACATGAGTGAAAATTAGAAGTGAGTTATATACTTTTTGATCAAAAAATACAGATTAATAAAGAAATACTTCACATTTAAAGCTTATTGTATTTAAAAATGATCAGGTGTTTTTTTTTTTAATTATGATGCTTATTCAGTTGATATGTTCTTTTTTTTTCCTAAGAGCTTTTTACTTTGTGGTCTGAATTTGACTTTAAAAATCGAAGATGAAAGATAATTATTTAATTTAAAATCGAAGGTAAAAGATAATTATTTTGAGCAATTGGTTATCAAACATATAATAATAATGATATTCAAATTTAATTTATATAAAAAAAGAAAAAACTCATATTAATAACAATAATTTTTTTAAAAATTAGAAGTGTCATTTCTTATTGGACAACAATGACCCTATATAGATTGTGTATTAATAATTACCCAACAAAATGAGGGAGGTTAGGTTGGTCATCACTCATCACTATTAATTGACAAAAGAATAGGAAGACAAACACCCATACTATTTAATTTGCTATTTTTAATTGTTCCTTTTTATTGAAGTTATACTTTAATATATAGTATGGTCCATATATTTTGTCATAAAGTAATTAAAATAGTGGTGTAAATTAGGCACTTGGTTGGTTTATTTCTTTTTCCATAATAGTACAACGTGTTTGAAACTTTAATTCTTTTTTTAACTATCAAAAGTTACCCCTTGTAATAATGAGTGTAAACACGTTATCTAAAAAAGCTAGTTAGAAGCGTTATTTCTAAATGAATTTTAATACGAATTTTGAATATTGAATAAAAAATCAAATAAGATTATCTAAAAAGCTAAAACAAGTAATATCTTTATATATTTGTTAACTCAATTTATTTTGTTCAAAATAAATTTAAATCAATGTAAACCAGATAATTATAACTATTCAATAATTCATATATTTATTAACTTGAATTATTTTAAACTAATTCGTTCATTTAACACCTCATAAAATAACATGGTCCATTATGGTCCACTAAATGATTTTTTTCTTTTTTCTTCCTCTTACTTTGGAACCTCTTTGCTACTTCAATGATTAACTCTATGTGCTTTACGTGTCTGAATTGTACCAACTTTACCTCACCTAATAACAATTAATTGCCATAATTTCTACTTTTAGAGTTAAATTATAAAAATTTTAATTAAAATTTTATATAATATTCCATCATCTTGATATTCCAAAAAAGGATAGAATATTACTTATAAAATAAATTCAGAAAACAATAGGAAATAAGTATATCTCTAAAATTTCGAACATAAATTGAAGAATACTCGTTAATTATTTTTAACATACTTTGTAATCATCCGCCTATTTCCTTTTCCTTTTCCTGCATTTTATTCAATTGTACATGACTTCGAAAAATAACTATCTGATATTTGTAAATAAAATGAAACATAGAAGACTTTTAAGTATTATCTTTTCAATTAAATATTAGAAAACTTTTATGCAAGTATTATCTTTTCAATTAAATTATATGTGGATATAAGAGATTTTTCCTTTCGTATACAATTAAATTTTCCTTTTTTGTTTGGTGCGAACTCAACTTAAGCTATAAATAGCTAAAAAAAAAGTGATTCAAACGCTATTTAAGCTATAAATAGCTAAAAAATAAGTGATTCAAACGCTATTTTTAAAGCACTTCAACCACTTGCGACAGAATTTTCAAATTATTAAAGCACTTAATCACTCGTAGCAGAATTTTCAAATTTATTTAGTATAGAGATGTTGGGCACAAGGGGATCATCTCCTCTGTTAAGGTCACTACTTTTGGGGATAAATAAATTATAACATCTGGAAATGGAATTCAAATAAGCAATTCTGATCCATCTTTGACACTACAATAAAGACTTCTCTAGTATTAAGGAGATTCAAAATTTTATATATATATACCAACAAAAATGATATCATTTTTGTAAGAGTTCATTAGTATAGAATCGTTTTTGTTAGAAAACGCTTGAAACTTCTCTTCAAAAATTAAAATTCAGTCGAGCTTAAAATATCAGCCGCTAGACGGAAAACCAAAATAATATATATATATATATATATATATATATATATATATATATATATAAACATAGCTTTAGTTGACATCTATGTGTTTTAATTTTGAATATGTGACACTTAAACTTGTATAAATAAGATGCATTCAAACTGATTTATATTATGTCACGTAGAATATGCACCCAATGTTGAATGCACAAATATAACATGAAGTCAAGTTGAAGAACACGGTAAATACAGTAGGAGTAGTAAATGATATGGTAAATACCCTGGTTGTGATTGTAGTAGTGGTCCTCACAAGCTTTATTCAACTTTTGTCCTAGCATGCCTAACCTAGGCAACATTTATTATGTTACTACTACTCTTCAACATAACTCCTATCTCTTCTCTTAGAATTTTCACTTTCAGTAATTAAAAAAAAAAACAAAAAAACATGGCAAACAATGATGCTGGTGAAGGGGTGGTGATGCAAGTGATGAAGCACTATTGTCAAGTGGAGACATGTGAGGCTAATTTAGATGGTGCTAAGAAGTACCATAAAAGACACAAAGTTTGTCAAGTTCATGCCAAGGCACCTATTGTTTTGCTTGCTGGTTTAAAGCAGAGGTTTTGTCAACAATGCAGCAAGTACTCCTCTTTCAAACCACTCTTTGTCATATTTTTTTTTGTTAACCCAATTTTGAGTGCATTTTGATTGATTACTCAAAAAAAAAAAAGATCTATTAGACGAGATATAGTATTGGTAGATAAATCGTTGATTCGTCTTGATATAACAAAAACTTCTAATTCTTGAGTTGTCTGGTAATATAAGCTATTCAGATGAACCAAACCCCAAAAACTTTATTGGAGTTGTGGGCTTAAGCCAATTCTTTACGGCTTCAATCTTTCTAAAATCTACTTAGCTACCTTGCTCGGGCGGCGAGGGGTTTCTTCAATTATACTGTGTGTATAGTTTTGGAAAATATTATGTATATATGGTTAATATTAGACCCCTTAGTTTGTGTGCTTGCTTTTTACATATATTTTAGGTATCATTGTTTTATCCCGAAATAACTAGTCTTGGTAACGATTATTCCACCTTGTGATAACGATAACCTATTCCAGTACTAATTAGTTACTAATCTTGATATAACTTCTGCCAAGATTAATAACCAAACAAAACAGGGCTATTTATGCTTCTGACATTCTAATACGTGTGATATATTACCACTCATTCAGGTTCCATGAGCTCTCAGAATTTGATGGCACTAAAAAGAGCTGTCGCCTGCGTTTAGACGGACACAACAAGCGGCGTCGCAAGACACCACTGCCCATTGAGCTGGAAGATAACCAATGCAGGTTGATCAACGGGGAAGCCAGGCCACATATGGACATGACTTTGTCCAGCAGGAACACCATCTACACTGCTGACATCTCTGGATGAAATGCTTACTCTCTTCTGTCAGCCCCCTCGGGGGCATCGTTGTTGGACCTTTCGATTGATGCTTGTACTGAAAGCAGAACTCAAATAATGATTTAGTGGTTATCCTAGCAAACAACATTCCGTTTATTTGAAGTTCGTGTGCGAACAGCTCCTGATGTTGGAACTTTAAAACGTTTATACAGTAACACGACCAACCAAACCATCGACAAAAGCAAGTACTAGTTCAGATTTTACATTTCAAAGAAACTATACGATCTAAGCACACGTTTCATCATCTAACAAGTGCAGAGAGAGAAGATTATTGGAACCTTACAACTACGCAGGATATATCATCGGTACTTCCCCTTGCAAGAGCATGTTCATTGAGATGCTTTGCAGCTGATCGCGCATCCTTAATATCTTTAATGCAATCTGCAGCTTCCTGATTCGACAGTACCTGGTATTTCAGGCAAAAAGTTGTACAAAGGTTACACTTAGCAACTATGTCATGCACACAAGAACATAAAGGATATCATATATTCGACAAACAATCCAATCATATTTAACGCTCTGGTGATGTAAGTAGCTAACCTTCCATACGCCGTCACTAGCCAAAATGAGAAACTCTGTGTCATCATCTATGAGCTCTACCACTACATCTGGCTCTGAACTTAAATGCATCTTCAAGCTCTTGTCGCCAAATGCTCTTGCTACTGCTAACTGCCCATCAACCCGAGGAACATCACCTGAATAGAGGAGAAGAGGGGAACTTTGTTTTAAACAGAAAACACAAAACTCGAGCACAATAGAATAGAAGCACCAGCAATCATGCCCCTGCTTTCGTCCCCGATTCTGTCTATCAACTAAGACCTGGCCCAGAACAACATATTCGCAGACGGCCATAGTTCTCAACGAAGTTCCACATACTATTTCCCAATGGACATGAGCAAAAACTTCTTGGTTTTGGCGAAGGGGGTTTCGACTCTGTATTTGCAAACCTACTACACCTTGAACTCCTCTAAAACGACACTACGGTCGAAGCAACATCTGCATTTGAATAACTAACCTAATGTCGATGAGAAATTGGACTCAAAAGCAAATTCCCACATATGATCAAGGTAGTACGTAACTTAGATCTAGTAAACGAAATTCATTTGAACAGTACTAAGGCTTGTTCGTTCCTATCATTGACGCATAAATGAAGATACCATTTGGTACGGACTGATTTCTTCCATGATTACCTTCAGACTCTTCACAAAAATTACAAATTATAGCTACACACCTGGAAAATTGGACACGAAACCACCTTTGCCCTCGATGATCTCCCTCTCCCTGCCAGGCTCATGATCGATGGACAGCTGCTTGGCCACTCCATTTTTGTAAATGACGGCACGAGAATCTCCGACATTAGCAACAACTAGTTTCTGACCATTAATCAATATGGCTGTAACAGCAGTGGATCCTCCTTTACCCAAATCAGCAGCCTTATCCAAAATAGTTGTATCTGTTATACGGTAGGCTTTCCTGATTGCAGACTCCGGTTCAGCCCAGAAGTTAGGCTACATAAATGAAACAGAAAATGTGACGGAAGTTCATAGAATTCAAGCAAAGAGTCACGAAACTGAAAGCACAACAACCGGCACTAACTGAAGACCGAAACTAACTCTACACAATACATGTCAAGCATTTAATAGTAATGCGAAAGCATTACCTCATTGAGAATATTGTTGAATAGATGAGAGCGGAGGTACTCAGGAATCTCGTGGCTCAAATGGCCATCAAATATTGCAAATAGACCAAGTTCATTTTCATCAACTTGTTTAAACTGTGCAAAAACATAATCTTCCATGGTGTGATGCGATTTTCCCTCAACCATGTGATACCCATGGGTTATGTTCTTCGACATCTTACTCTTACCTCTTCCGGTATCTGACGAACTTAAACCAACCTTTTCCTGCCAAACGAAAAAATCATGTCACCGCACATGTATATATCAGGCAATTCATCATAGTACTTGGAAAAAACTTCACCACAGTCGCAAATTTTCCATAGAAGCTGAGATACAACAACAACTGATCCAGTATAATCCCACAAAGTGGCAAAATTTCCACATAAGCTGAGATACTGAATAAACAAACCACAATTGAACAATCATATACATATATATACACGTAATGCCACTTAGATTAACATTAATAGTAATAAAAGCTTAAGATAAATAGCTTGACAAAAGAGGTATAAGTTCTTAATGCCAACTTCTCAGTCCCCTTCTTTTACCAACAAAAACAACTGCTATGCCTCAATCTCAAACATTTAAACTCATTTTACATCATCAATGACGGAGCTAGAGGGACGAAAGGGTTCATCTGAGCCCCTTCACCTAAAAATTATACCGTATATATAAAATTAACTTTCTTATTTATGAATACAACAAAATAGATAATGAATCCCGTATTGCACGAAAATCCTGTCTCCGCCATTGAAAACCTTCATCAGCCTCGGTAAACTTATTTTTCCTTTAACAAATTAAAACCACAAACAGCTACTCTATACTAAGACTTCAATTTTAAATTTTGACACTTTACTTCATCAGCTAAGTTTACTTGCTATGAAATAACTGTTGATTAAGTAAATTTATCGAAAACAAACTCTATATATCACAAAAGTCAGATAAAATCTACGTACATTCTAACCTTCCCGCAATTATTACATTGGATATGTTGTTTGATGTTAACAACTAACTTTTGTGGGACAACACTAAATACTAATCATCATATATTCAAACATATATTGTAACAACAAATAGAAGGCTAATTGAATATGTTATTTTGAGGGGAAAACCATAATAAACGTAAATTATTATTTTTCTTAAAAAGAATTAGTAATTATTTTTTTCTGCAAAATGAAAACCAAAATAAGCTGAATTAATTACAATTAATTAAGATCCAAGAGTAAATTACATAGATCAGGGTAGATTAGCAATTTTAATTATGTATATGTACCTTAATTTTGTCGATGATTTCTTTGCCTCCAGTCATGATGCAAAATTAATAAAAACGAAGAAAACAAATTAAAAAAAAAAATGTAGAAGAAGATTAAAAAAGAAAATTGCAGAAGGAAAATGACAAGTGGTAGAGGAAAACAAAATGACAATGTTCCTATGATTGACACGTCTCCTCTTTTACATATCTTAGTGTCTACGTTTTGCCTCGACGTCAAATGAGCATATTGAACTGAATTAGAATGGAATAAAATAGTCTAACAGATAAAAAAAAATTTAACGAATGAAAAAGTTATTGAATCGTTCAAAATTATTAGATCAAATAAAAATATTAGCTTTTCTAGATTAATTTAAATTATATACCTGTTAGAAAAAAAAAAAAATTAATAAATTAAATTTTAAAAAAGTTACAAGGTGAAAAATCAAATATTGCTTAAAAAGTTGAAAGCGAAAGTTCAAATAGTAAATTAAATCAGCTAAATTAATAAGATTTTTTTAATTTTCTAATTAGCTTTACGTGTACGCGAAAAAAAAGAGAATATATTTATCTAAATTTGGCTGGAATTTTTGAATTGGGATAGGGATAATTAGTTGTGAAATTATTTTATACCATAGTCTTGATATTATTCTATTCTATATTCAATATTGACAGTGACATCAAGATTAGCTAGCCACCTTGATATAAAACAACTAAATTTTAATCAATTTTATTAAAAATGATCAATAATTTACTGATAATGCTTCACGTAACTGATCCATGAAGTGTATATGGATATGAAATTTGATAGACAGATCATGTTTAAAGTATTTAGGGTCAGTAATTTAACGTAATAGGTAGATTGATAAAGATGTCATATGTTATATTGCTACGGGGTGAATGTAATAATGACTTGCACCTGATGTTATATATGATAAAAATGATGTCTTTAAGATCTGACGATAAATTTTACAAGATGAATGTTATATCGTCATATTATGTAAGGTAGAATGTTAACCAATCAAGAACTCTCATGTTTAGAAGATAGAGAGTAGCAGGCATGAGGATTCTAAGATAAATATGAAAGAATATCAAGAGATATAAGATGAGGAATGAAAATATCCAAGTCGGGATTTTTGAAGAAGAAGAAAGCTACCGATTAGAACATATTGTAGACATGTCGATCAGTTTCTTTCTTCTTCAACAAGGGCGAGAGTTTACACGTGGTGGATATAAGATGAGAATGGTAAAATTGGAACAATCGAGCTTGTGAAGAGAAAATGTCTCGATAAGAAAAGTGTGAGAGCTTAGTCGTAATACAATTGTACCTCTTTTTAGTGGGCTCCCAACCAGGTCAAAGGTAGTAAGCACTAACTTGACCCAATCCCTTCAAAGGTAGCCGTACCACTAAAAGAGGCCCATAAACACATTAAATATTGTTGGAGGCCCAAACTAAATTACTCGACAAAGTTGCACTTTGGTGGTCCCTAAAATTGGATTAATTTTACACAAACATCCTTCTTTTAAGGCTATTATTTAAATTTTCCCTTTATTTTAAAAATTAACACTTGTATAGCCCTCCCTACGAACAAAACATTAGACTGTCGTTTAACTTGTAGAAAAATAATTTATCTCATGATCTAACGATTTCTCATAAGATTCGTCAATTACATGTAAAATAAAAAGATGATCATTTACTAAATAGCCATCTCGGAGAGGGACGCCCCAATTTCTCAAAATTTTTTCTATATATATAAAACTAGCTTTGGAATAAAAAGTATATATAATATGGTCATTCCATGTACCTTTTGTTTAAGTGGGCTCCAATCCAAGTCAAAGGTAGAAATAACTGACCCAATTTCTTTCAAAAGTAGCCGTACAATGAAGACTGAAGCACACTTAAAAGGCCCATATCCAAATCGTATAAAATATTCAGAGGCCCAAACTAAATTACTTGATAATGGTGGACCCAAAAGAAGTTGTTAGGCAGAAATGGGACCCAAATGGGTCATCCAAAAGGAAAAAGTTTAGAAAAGGTTATGGATATATACCGTACGATTAATTAGTTTACAAATATGGTCGAAATATACACAACTTATTCATTAATAGTCATGTATATTATGTATGTAGTATATGTATATTTAGTATAATGAATACACATATAACAACATATACATTTCATACATGCTTTATAAACTAGCTGGTTAAAGAGTATAGAGTCGTAAATTATCCCCCAAAAATACTTGTTATCCCTTAATTTACGTACCTTTTAGTATGTGATTTAAAAGTTCATCCCGAACAAATTAAAAATATTAAATTACGATGTAAAATTTTGTATAGTCAAATGTTGGTCAATCTCAAAAAATATATTTGCACAAACTATTTAAAAATAGAAATAAAATCTAAATGATTGACTTAAAAGAAAACACAAGTGGGAGACATTGAAATTTCAAAGAACTTTTATTGTCTCTTGGATTTGGATTTATTAATACCCTATAGATCCAAGTGGAAGTCCTCAATATTTGCTTTTTTGCTTCATTAATCAAAGAGACCAATGTTGAACTCATCATTGTATTTGTCTTGGGATTCAAAGACATCCCTAATATGTTATCACTTGAGTTTTTTGGGTCCCCCCTCTTTGTTTTTTTTTTAGTTTTTTACTTTCCTCTTTGATATATATATCTATACTTTGCTTAAAATCTTCTTTTACTTTACATGAAAGTGTTCTCATAGAGTTAGTCTCTTCATCTTTCATGTATAAAAGCAACAAAAGCAAATAATATAAAGTAGGTCTATCAACCATAGTATGAGAGGATACTCTTTCGGGTAAATCGTGATAAAATCTATCTTCGTGCTTTTTAACTAATTTTGAAGATAATTATTTTTTCATTAGTACATAGATAACTTTGTACATTAAGGCTTAGATAAATTTGGAGAAATTACATATGTTTTTGATGAACTTAAACGATAACCTCATGATTTTCGACGCACTTATTGACTAGTAGATAATATTCACAGGAGATCGACGATAAAGTATTATTTTGAGGAAGAAAATTTCAGTTTCCGTTCATCTTAAATTATCAGTTGTAATTCTTTTTTTCGCGCCTCTTAAAAAATAATAAGAAAGGTTGTTTAACTATTTTATTCTTTATTACTATTTAAACATTCATAATATCACCATAACTAAATGTTTATAGTCTTCAAAAGCAATAACTATTAGATAAATGAAAAAATAATTATATTTTTCTTTCAACTTTTAAAATGAAAAATAATATAAGACGGAGGGTGATAAAAAGAAATATAATTATATTTCACTGTTAAAAATCTTGAAAATCAACGTTCTTAAATCATCTAGTTGCATTAGAGAGTAGGTAATAAATCTAAATCTCTTTTCATTGACTTTTAAGCCAACAGATCACTAATCTTGATTATGATGATCTGTATCAAATTAATAATAGCAGTAAACTAATTATTATTATATAATCTACACTACATATCAACATAATTTCATACACTAATATTCGGTAAATCTACACGCTTCCAATATGATTACTTATCCATATAGAGTAACTTAATTAATCAAATCTATAGTTGGAAACTTAAAGTAGTGTTTAAAAAAAAATTATCACATGATTTTTAGTCATTTAGACCACTAATCTTCATTAGCAAGTCCCAAACAAGGGGTCCATTTATCCCCTCTTTAGGGGAAAAAAGCCAACTCTTTATACATTTTTCATATCAATAAACAATTTCGTGATCCAGTATAAAAAACGGATCAATTGAGTTATAAATTCTCCGATTTAGCTTTGTTTGCAACGATAATAACTATAAATTTCGATGGAAAATCGTCGTAGAAAGAGCAATTCAGGTGATAGATTTTCATTTCCAATAATTATGCCGGTTCAGGAAGGAGAAGAAATGGAATTTGAATTTTCCGGTAGTGTTTCGCCGGGATCTCCGAAATCTCCGGCGGATCATTTGTTCTTCAATGGACGGTTACTGCCGCATTACTTCCCCTGTCAACCGGTAAGTAATATCAATAGTCCGATTTCGTTTTCGCGATCAACGAGCAGAACGAGTAATGCTAGTAGCAGAGATTCGCTCTGGTCCTCGCGCAGCAACAGCACCAATAGTCGTAGCAGTTGCAGTAGCAGCGCGAGGACCAGCACCAGCGAATGTTCTGAAAGGAAATTGATGAATCAAAGGAATAATTCAGCGTTTGCTATGTATAGAAATTCGTCGAATAATATGAATTTTTCGACTACTCTGCATACTGGAATTTCGCCTAAATGGCAGTTTATTGCAACACCAGCACCAGTAATGAAGAAAAAACAACAATTTTCAGCTCCAGCAATGAAGAAAAAAGGCCAATTTGTTTTGAAATCTCAGAAACAGAGTGCGAAAGGAGGCAAAGAGATGAAATCGAAGAAACAGAGGAAGGAAAATGGTAAAAGAAAAGTGAGATTTTGGTTTTTGCGAAGAGTTTTCAGGAAGTTTATGTCAGCTTGCAGAGAATGTCACGCAATGGAACCAACAAGAAGAGAGAGGCTTTCTCGTCGTTAAAAGCTATATTGCTCGGATTCTTCTAAAATATCGATAGCAAATGAATGCATGTCAAATATTTCAAAAAATATTGCATTTTGGAAAATCGAGTACGAGCAAGATAGGTGAAATGATTTGACATTACTAATTGATTGTGTCCTAATAATTACTGGCTAATTGTTGTTGTATGTGGCAAGTGTGGTGATGATTGGCTAAATTTTCAACTTTTGGTAATTATTGATCTATGATTTTGGGAGATAATATTTTTCTCAAGTCATATAAGTGATTAAGGTTTGTGACAAACCTTCTATGTCAAATAGATTTTGATCATGTTTTGTTTCTTAAATCTCTTTTCTTGCCTTTTATTACCACCTTATGCATGTATTTACTGGTCGAGTTAATCTAAATTCACGTCTTGTAAGATTAATTGAAAAAAATAAAGATTACATTCATTCCGTTATATTTATACACATTTATTCACTAACTTACGCTCGATCATATCAAACAAATGAATGCATGACACCTATAAACTTTTGTTACAAGAAAGTTCTTGCCCTTCCGTCCAAGCATAGCAATTTATTAAGTACCAATTCAAGATAGTATTTGCCTAATTCCATCCAAGCATTGGATTTTTTTCATGTTGTCAAAGATTTAAATTTTAAAATAAAATTGTGATCAAATATTTGACATGAATTAATCAGGTCATGTAAGAACAAGGTTTAAGTCTATTGATCTAAAAAAAAAAATACTCAGCTACATATATTAATGATATAATTTCATTTGACATTATCATAATGATAACAACTTGTCTATGACAACCTTTTATTGAATTCTCAAAGAACTTACTTGAAAGTTGATCGCCGGGAATCGATAGGATATATAGTCTATTATTCTTACTTTTAACTTAAGACATTATCCTTACATGACGAGCAAAGTTTTTCACAAAAAAAATATATACTCGTGATCTAATATTTTTATAACGATCTCATTTGTATGAATATTTTTTAATTATTATAACGAAATATTATTATAAAAAAACACATATAAGATAACATGAAAGTTAGTTCCTAATAAAACTTGATTATTATTGTGAAATGTTAGTCTGATCAAATATAGCGATCAAAATTCAAATAAAACGAAAAGTAACCTTTAAAAATTATATATGATAAACTCTCTTGATACTGACTTGGACATAGTAAATAATATAAATACAAAGTGATTTATATGAGCCATCTCTAACTAGTTTTAAATTTAAACATACATGACGCTATTTTATTTATACTTTTGAGATTTCGAGTTAGTTTAATAAAGAGTGTTTTTAAAGAATCTGACAATAATTTAACTTAAACTTCTTGTTTAATAAATGAAACTTGCTTAAGTGATTGAGGACCTCCATCAATGATCGATCGGCTTAGAATTTGAGTCATGCCAGAGGAAATGTAAAAACACTATTGATCCTATAAAAGAAAAAAAACTTCACATTTTATCGCTGATGATAAAAAAAAAAGTTAATAACGCAAATGTTATAGCACATACAAGATATAAGTGTTAAAATAATTTAGCTACATTTTTTTATAGGAAAATAGGGGGACAAAATTACAAAATAGAAAATCAAACTCTCATTAATAAGAAATAAATTCAGTTTATTAACCAACTAAAATTCCTCTATAACTACATAAATATTAGAACATATCTAATATCATTAAAAAAGAAATTTATTTTTTTTACTTATACTTCATGTCCAATTACATAGGGAGGAAAAAGAAGGTGAATTCTTGTCTTGGTACTATTAAAAGAATGTGATGCAATGGACAGATTGCTCCATTCTTAACCTGAGATCTCAATATTGTATTGAGCTTCGTATATAAAAAAAAATCATTCACACCAAACACTTCTACCAAATTGGCACTATATATATCGTGTAAATATCAATTGATCAAACTTAGATATAAATATCGATTATCGAGTTAAAACCTAACCAAAGAAAAAAGTTGTTATCTTTGGATTCTAGTAGTTTGTCCTGTGTGTCAAGGCAAAAATTAAGGAATAAAGAAGATTCAACATCATTTCACTACCAAAAGCTACTCTAATTTCATCATCCCGCCTCCCAAAATATGCCCCATGACAAGACACCAAAAGCCAACCCTTCTCAAACTGTCAAAAAAAAAAATTTTTTTTTTTACTTTTTATGTTTTAGTTTTTTTTTTTTTTTTAGCTAATGTCCGGTATCGGATAAAAACAGATTTAAAATTTTAAAGTTTGTAATTCTGAAATTTATAACATGTATTCGATGAATCTATATAGTTCGTATGAGTTTGATAGAATTCATACCTTTCATGCTAGCTCTAAGTGATTTTAAGTTCGATTAAAAGTGATGAATAATTATAAATCTTTTACTTTCAAATATAGCATTTCTTTTTATTATTATCTTATCAATTCCTAATGATTTTGTTGAAATATTGTACAAATGGGTCCTCCACTCAAAACATGAACAAGAGGAAAAGGTAGGATCAATTGTTATTCATTTTATCAAATAGGTCACGATTTTTAAATACAGATATCAAATATTAAATAAGAAAAATAAAAATAAAAAAATAAAGGGAGGGACCAAGCAGTAATGTTATTTTAGTTTTTTACATGAGAGTACTATTTTAGATAAATCTTGGAACATGAAGTTATAACTAAATATTATTTTGAATAGTTAGGCTCCTTTATTGTATAATGTCAACTCACCAAATGTCAATAGGATTTGATCTATTATTTGTCATCACACCCATTTTTTCAAATGTTGACCCACATATGTAGTGGTTATACTAAGGTTACACAAAACACTCCTCAACTTTGACCCTATAATTACTCGGTCCTAATTTAAATGTCTTACTTTTCTTTTGTATTGTATTCAATAAGTTTTCAATTTCAACATTTTACATAGTAAGTTTAAAATTACAATATTTAAAAATCTCCCATTATTTCTTAAATTTCGTCAAACTAACACAGTTAAATTAAGATGCCTGAAGTGATTTTTCTTTTTAACAAACCATGTTACCAGAAATGCATGATATTTTAATGATCCGACACGAAAGCAACAACATTTTTGAAATATCCAGACAACACTACCCTAGTTTTAAATCTACTAGACATCCATATTCTTCCTACAAAAAAAAATCATAGAGAAGCATAAATTTTCCTTCATTTCTAGATAAACTGATCAAAAAGACTACAAGAAAAAAGTGGAAACATTCAATGGTCCAAAGGATGAAGGAAAATCAAACTATTAAAAGAACACTAAATTAAGCAGAAAACACAACTAAAAGCTTTTTCTTAAGTACAACTTCTCCCAACCATAACCCTAGAAAGATCATTCCAAGAATCTCTCCATCACATCAGGGTACATTCCTCCTTCATTCCTATATTCTCCGGGATTATTAGCGTGCTGATCAAGTGAAGTCGATGAATTAGAAGACGAAGCCATCCTAGCAGGAAGCGTATAGCTTCTCTTGAACTTGTCCATCTTCCGAATGCTATCAGGGTGGCTATCCAGGCTCAAGAAATCGTTTGGATTAGCACCTCCGTTGTTGTGCAAGCTAGAAGCATCTGAGTTCGGATTTGATGTCTTCCCATCAAGACTAAGCGGATGCTGATTATGATCCGGTTTGGAACCTAAGCTATCAGGATTGAACAGGATCCTGGAATCATCATTTCTACCAGTGAGAGCACTAAAGAAAGTTAATCCATTAGGCCACTTGATATCACTCTCATGATCAGCAGCAGCTCCCATCATGTCTTCCATTCGTGGTTCGGATGAATGAGGAAGTTGAAGGAACATATGTGATTCATCTTTCGACTGTGGAATACCAAGTCTCGCGGAGTTCTGGAAGTTGGGAGACGATAGTAGCGAAGACGCTGAAGGCATTGGCCTTGGTCCCCAGTTGAAAAGTGGAGGAGGAGCGCGAATTGGCATGGTCGGCTGCTTAAGAGGAATTGCAGACGAAGGTGAACTAGTCCTTGTTGAAGAAAATAGTTGTGACAAATAAAAGCCAGATTGATAGCCTAGTGACTCGAACGTGTGCCTCATTCTTAACACGAAATGGAGGTCTTCCGGTATCTGAGAAGGATACAACATTCTCATCTAAATTACATCAAAGTGCTTTATTCATATTAAGTAACCAACTATGTTGCTCAGACTAGTACTCGTGTTAGATACTCCAAAAATGCACTACTTTTGGAGGATCCGACACAGTAATCACATGTCCATAGATAAACAAAGATTATAGTAGCAACTAAAATAAACAAGATCTCTTTTTTAGGGAAATAAGTCTTACAATCTTGCAGGATCCCAGTTGCAGTAGGCCATGTCCAGCTTGAATCACAGCAATAGTCTGCAACATAAAAACAGTACACTGTCACACACACACATAAAGCAAAGCAAAAAATGCCATACAAAACAATCCAAGAAATCTTCATATAGGGCAGCCTGGTGCACACTAACTTCCCACTATGCGCGGGGTCCAGGAAAGGGCAAGACGAGGCTATTTCCACAACTCGACCTGACACGACCCCGTGACCTCTTGGTCACATGGAGACAACTTTAAATTACGCCAAGACTCCATTTTTTTTTTGTAAACAAATAAGATAGAGAGGCAATTATTGTTCTGGAGTTATGAAGCTGACCTGAATCCCTGACTCAAACTGGTCAGTCCACTCAGGTGGGAGCTGCAGAAGTTAAATCATCATCAACCATACAATCTTTATCAGACCAATAATTGGCAAATGAAAAAAAAAAATCAGTTCCCTAAGATAACCAAACATAAATGAAAGTAAACATACAGCATCAAATGAACTCTGCCAGTAATTAGATATGTTTGGTTCACATTCTGTAGGTTCCTTGAAAACCCATTTATGACACTTATCAGATGCAACTTTACCCATCAACCTGCAAAACCAAAACCCAACCAATCAAAACAGAAAAAATAGTTACAAATCTTTTGTCTCCTCCACCTTTTGATTCTCTATTTATATATACTATTGTCCATTATTATTATTCAGTGGTGAGAGAGTGTGGAGATGGAGAGTTTCAAAAATCCAATACCAACCAAATCACCTACCCAGTACCCACCCTTCTCCATAATTATATAACTGAATGGACATTTTGCTGAAGGCTTTTCTCACAAGATCTTCACCATCCATCTCTTCCAAGCAATCTGTTCCTCTACCTCTGCAGAATCCATCTTCCCACATCAACATCCTGCATAAATCAACACAAAAAGAAAGCAAAGTTACAATCTTTCACCTAAAAAAAGGATCTTTTATGCTTCTTCTTTACGAAGTCTATATTTCTGAATAGCAATAACTACGTTTTGCAAACAAGTCTGGGTCGGCTATATGAATCCTTAGTTCTTCATTAAAGCTCATATCTAA